CTCAGTCCAGCTGACAAAAACCAAGCAATGCAAACACAACCCAACTGTCTCTATCGTACAAGCCTGCTAGAATCATTGTTTGTTTTATATCACCTAACAAGCAAAAGTATTCTCAAAATAGTACAACTTATCATAAAATTCACCTTTGGTTAATCACTATTTTCTCTTAAAAGTCAGTTTTAAGTTAAAATGGTACATTACCAAAGAATTCCTCTAAAATATAACTTAGTTCGAAGGATTAACCATAGTTTACAAACAATGTACATTTTCAATAATTAGCAGGCAAAACTTGCATTTATTTGAAGGTCTATGGAATTATTTAATGTCATCTTTTCTTTTTTAGTATACCCAGAAAAATCAAAGCTAAAAACTGTCATATATTATGCTAAAATATTTCTAGAGATCAAATCTCTAGTTTTTAAGAACCTCCTGACATTTAATAGAAAATAGCCTGCAAACATAGTGACAAATGCCTCATAAATAATAAAAATGCTACTTTCTTTTCTTTTTTTGTGGTCATTACCTTTGTTTCAAGGAGAGGTTAGATACTCTTGTAACTAAAATGAAAACCTGTAAAAAACACTGAAAGGCACAGTATGTCTTAAATGAGTTTTCTTGGTTTCAAAAGCTTTTCTTATTTCTCTTTCACAGAGACCTGAAAAATTAAAATTAGCATTTGAAAGTATTCAAACATTGTTTAAATTGTTTAGTTGCTATGTTCTACAGGTGCAGTTCTGAATGAAATAAATTTACCATCTGCTTTGTCTCAGTTCTGCCAATTTACAATTACACTAACGAACAGGTGAAACATCTTTGCCCTAACAAATTTATAAGACTTTCTTTTGGATGGAAAAATTCTTAAATATAAAAATCCACTTCCATATTAAAATTGTTAAAGGTACTTCCTCTTTTTTACACAAATATTAATCTATCTATGAAAAGCTGTCAACATTTCCTTGCTATACTAGATTGGATTAAAATAAAGGAGTCAGTCAGTCAATATTTATTTTGTCCATTCTGTGCCTAAAGGTATACTTGGTATTGGGGATACAGAAAATGCATGATATACTCTAACCAAGAGAAAGTTATATTCTAGCAGAAAACATAAACCTTATCTATACCAGAGTGTGAAACATGAGAGCAAAAATGCAGATGAATGGACAAGGAGCCATGACAGAATGAAAATACAAATGGTTCTGCCTCCACCTGGCTGTAATTTTCATGAAAACAGGATCCTTGTTTGTTCTATCACGGCTGGGTGATCACTAGCTCCTAGCACAGTGTCAGATACATGACAGATGTGCAAAAGATACTTTGTTTGGCTAAAAAAATAATGAAAGAGGCAAGATTTCATGGAGAGGGTGATAACAGAGAGAAGCTTTAAAACATTAAATAAAAAATTAAACAGACTAAAAAGAAGAAAGAGGTTATTCCAGGCAGAAAGAACAGAATGAACTACTATACCCATCTTTCACCAATTTACCTTTAATGCAGGCAACAGTCAACATTTTACCCCAAAGCATATTTTCTATAAACAACCTTTACTCAGCTGAAGATTTCCTAAATATATATTTCAATTTTAAAAAACTGAGTTTCCACAGGACTCCACATGTAGGATTTGGAGTGTGTAAACTGAATCATTACCAGTACCAATAAAACCAAACATAATAGATACAAAAATAATTTATAGCTAAAAAAGGAATAAAGTATAATTTAACCACATACCATTTTAAGTTGGAGTTTATTTAACTCAATTTGAAAAGTACTTTAATAAAAGTGAAATGAATAAAAATAACTTTAAAACAGTCACACAACCAAGAAAGACTATATAAGCTAAGACAAAAACAGGAAAAAAGGAATTTTATGCCAAAAAATTGCAATGAAGGCAGTTATCAGACTAAATCTGATACGTTTATACCAAGTTCTGAAAGTGTGACATGATGGGTCATGCTTTGCATGCGTGCGTGCTAAGTCACTTCAGTCGTGTCCAACTCTTTGTGACCCTGTGGACTGTAGCACACCAGGTTCCTCTGTCCATGGGATTCTCCAGGCAAGAATACTGGAATACTGGAGGGGTTGCCATGCCCTCCTCCAACGGATCTTCCTGACCCAGGGATCAAACCCACATCTCTAATGTCTTCTGCACTGGCAGGTGAGTCCTTTACCACCAGTGCCACCTGGGAAGTCATGCTTTAGATCAATGATAAATAAAAGTTATTGGTTTAATAACCTGTAGGCTCACAAATGTTTTCTAAAAGAGTTAGAGAGTAAATATTGTATGTTGTGGGCCACATGGTCTCTTCCAAACTATTAACTCAGCAGCTGTAGCATGAAAGTAGCTATAAACAATACTTAAATGAACTGGGATGGCAGGGGTCTAATAAAGCTTTATTTACAAATGGGCTTCCCAGGTGACACAGTGGTAAAAAAAACAGGTAGGTGGCTCATGACCACAGTTTGCCAACCCCTATTCTAGAGTTTCCAAAGTGACTTCTCAGTATTTTATCAAGATAGCTTTACTTCCTTTCAAACTCTTTCACATAAACTATATTAATGTTTCATAAAATCTTCTAAAGACACATAAGAAAACAAAGCAGATATTCTTTTGTTTTACAGATAAAGAAACTGAAGCTAAAGGGATTGAGTGACTTGCCCTAAGGAGCTGCCAGACAGCTGAGACTCAAAACCACACTTTTGTTGTTTTCACAGCTCTTACCCATCACCTTCTGTACCCAATTCTGCAATGCCCCAAGAGAAACAGTTCAATCGTTTTTAGAAATCTCTGCAGAATCCCTGGGCTCTCTATAGCTGACTCATCATCCTCATGATAGATTTCAAGAACATCTATTTAAAAGTCTATCTAAATTATTTACTTAAATTCCGAAGCTAAATTACTCTCAGATCCCTTCTCTCTTTAGAATATTTCTGTCTTATTCCATTTAAGTATATTCACAAGCCTCTTGAAACACCACTTCATCTGCAAACGGCCAGTCAGGAAAAAGAAAAAGTACTCCTTCTTAAGGGGTTGTAAACTCTTTTGATCACTTAATAAGAGTATGTGTACTCAGTAATACAAATGAGGTGAAAGGCCCGGTGCCTTCCTTTTGCAAAGCTTACAACCTAACTGATACATATGAGAGGCACAAATACAAAACTAAGGAGCAACTCCATGTAACTTGGATCAAATATAAGAAACTTGAAATAAATAGGACACATCATAAAATATATATACCTTTTGTACTACAGAAGTCAAAGACAATGCCCTGTACTTTTCATAATGAAAGTTTAATAAATACTAATAACTACAGACATCTCTTTGACATGGTAATTATGCAGTACAAAAGATAAAACTATCATATTTTTTTAATTATTTTTTTTTAGGGGAGTAAGAGGGCTTTCTCTTATTCTAGTTGTTGCCATCAAAGAGCAGCTTTCTTATTGTACCAACTCCTTTTCCAAAAATAACTATCAAAGATGGGAAAAATATAGACAGTCCTTGCTCTGCACAGTAGCACAGAACTGGAAAAGTGATCATGCAAGATGAAACCACGCAAAGTGGTCCTAATAGTTAATGAGAAAATTTACGACTGTCTATGACCTTTTAGAAAACTGTCAAAAGATTACAAACTCTGATGGTTACAAAGGCACAGGAAATGAAAAAAGTAAATAAAACTAATATTTTTTTAGTATGCTGTGTTATTTATAGTGCACCAGTTAAAACATTAGGAACATGGAGAATCAAAGGACTTTATTTGTAAAACTCTTAAGCACGATTTAAACAGTGCTTGCTTTCTTGACATATAACTTACAAGCAAGCATCTTTCCTGAACCTTGGCAAACTGTCATACTCCTTTCTTAGTTAGGATCAAATTCAAACATGTTACTTGCACTTTCAAGGTCAGAAATATCCCTGTTCCTTTAATGAGATATTTTTGCCAGCGTCATTCCCTCTGGTATAACTTCATCCTTTTCATCACAACCAGTTCACTCACGTGTGCGGAAGAGTTCGCCTTTACTAAGTTCCTACGGCTGCATTTCTGCAGTCCCTCAATCTAGCAGTGTCAAGAGTCTCACAGTTATGTCTTCTATAATTCCACTGCATTTCATTCAAATTCCACTTTCAGCACTATCACTTTTTGTTTCTTTGCTACACTTTCATCTTTCTTGGCTAATTCCCCCTTTCAATAATCCACTTTTACGAATGTTACATGGGTCTATCAATGGATACGAGGAAGCAGCACTGCTATGCTGTCTGCGAGTGAAGAAGGTGACCGCTGCATAAGGACAATTCGCTGACAAGACGCTGAAAGGAGTGGCATCACTGGGCACTGATTATGATGTGTGTCTGCTGGCACATAATTACTGAAGAACTTGCATTATTTAACTAAAGCACGTTAACTGAAATTCATGCAGATTTGACCCATGCAAAGTAAGAACTGCCTTCACACAGAACTGTGTGAAGACACTGGAGGGCAATGAATGTAGGCAAGGTTAAGGAACTCTGATCTCTAAGAGACAGAGAACACAGCAGGAAGGTGCAGACTGCCCTCAGCTTTTCCCTTGCGTGTATTTTCTAAATCCCAGCCAGGAGAGGGAGAATCTGAGCACAAAGCAAGGCTTATTGTTCTGATAAAGCGGAGACTAGAGTCTGTGCCCCTACAGTGGAGGTATTCTGGTACATTCAGAGGGTATTCAGTTGCAGCTCCAGAAAATCATGACTCTAAGCAAGGGCACTTTGTCCAGAAGTGAAGATAGGAAGTTTATCCTGTCTGATGTCATGGGCAATCTGTCTAATGCTAGGAAACTCAGGAGAAGAGGACGCTAGAACAGTACAAGGTAAGTGACGGATTACCAAAGGTAGCTTCTTTGTGAAATTCTGTGCACAGAGGCTGCGATTTAAACTTGTACCACCAATTCTACGATGTACCAACTACTCACAGGATACAGTTACTTCTTACTTCAAAAAGTGGTATTGTGAAATTAAACACTGCTATATTTACCATTTTGTAAACCCATCCAGAGTTGCTTGTGATCTTTTTTCTGCATTTCATTGATTACTTGACTTTTGTGCTTTAAAGCATCAGCTTCTTTCACACAAGACATAAAATGAGCTTCAATTACATCCTTAGATGGACAGTGTAGAAGGTCCTTTTCTGGAAAACTCTACCAAAAGAAAAAAATACACATATTAAACAGGTATGCACATTACAAAATTAGCACCTCAAAGAACTGTTATCTCCCACAATTTTTCAATATTTTAAGCAAACCACTTCATACCTTCACAATGGAGATTTTGACATAACTCCAAATATTTTAAAAGTTAACTTAAAAATCTTTAGCTATCTGGCATATTCTGACTTTTTCTAATCCCGTTGTGTGATATGGTATGAATTTATACAACTTGAAAAAAAGATATGAAAGAGCAATTCTAAAAATATTGGGATGGCCAAAAAGTTGGTTCAGGGCAGGGAAACTGAACCAACTTTTTGGCCAACCCAATAACTTTTTGACTGACCTTACCAAGTACTGGCAAGAACGAGGATGGAAAAGTAAAATGCTACAACCACTTTGGAAAACAGTCTGGCAGTTTCTTTAAAAAAGCAAATGTACGTTTATCATCTGATATTCCACCACTAGTATTTACTTAAGAGCAACAAAAGCATGTGTCCACACAAAGAACTGTGCATGAATGTTCACAGCAGCTTTGTCTGTAGCAATAGGAACACAGGAAGCAACCTAAATGTCAACAGGTAAACAAATATATCAACTGCGGCATAAACTTGTCAAAGTGTGCACTTCTAACATGTAATTTGCTTTACGTCAATCAGAGCTTAACAAAGCTGTTAAAATGTAAGGTCAAATAGCTGAACTTACATTCTTTACCTTCACTGAATCTTTTAGGCAATTGAGGCAATGATCACTGGACAAATAAGCATTTATGTAAACGAGATGACTAATGCACTTTTCACCAAAAAAAAAAAAGATATTAATAACAGCTAACTCTAATACAGAACACTTAGTATGTGACACTGTACTAAGACTTTTAATATGGATTATATAATTTTCATAACTCTTGAGGTAAACATTACTGTTACTGCTATTTTACAGATTAAAAATATATATAAATAAAGCTCTGGGAGTAAATACAATTACACAACTTGCAAGTGGTGGCGCTAGGATTAGTCTGACTCAACAGTCCCAGTTTTTAAACCACTATGCAATACCACTTCCTCCCTAAGACCTAAATATGTATTTAGTGATTATATTCAAACATTATCTTACCAAAAAAAGATATTGTTCTATAAGTCCTTTAATAAAAATTGAGTCAAATAGTAATGGTAGAAAACAGCATTTAGTTACAGCCTACTCAGGCTATTGTAGTAACAGATAACACTCAACTACCCAAGTCACAGAGAGCTCCTAAATGACAAGGAAATTTACCCCAGATGCCTTCCTACCAAAAGAGGCGCTTGATTGCCTATAGCGATCTCCTAAATCACATTTATAAAATACAAATAATCAGTCCATCTCCCTCTTCTTACAGAGTTCAGGCCCACAGCTTCTGCTGAGTAAAACATGAGCCACTATATAGCTACCCACTAGAGCAGAAGGAAACAGCTGAGACCACCACATTGTCTTTCTTAGGTACAAAGGGATTCCAGATTCACGGTGCTCTTGAACTAGAAGCCTATGAAGAATTAAGATGGATGCTTTCAGACACAGGCACACAAGGCAAAGAAGAGGAGAAAATATAAAATTTCCTAACAATGAGAACACAAAAGAATATGAGTGACAGACAAAACTAAAAGATGAGAGAGATATGGGCAACAGAGAGTGTCCATGCCTTAATCAACTTTACAGTCAGCTATATTTGCTTTCTATCAGCTAGATTGAAGGGATTTACCCTGGCTTCTGGACCAGGACAAAGAATTGAGTGCATATCATATTAATTCTATTACAGTCAAATGAACAAGGATTATGATAATTATTGCTATTTTAAAAAAATCTTAAGTTTTGTTATACTTGACCTATAAAATTAGATGGGCTTTATTCAGATATTATACAGTTCACTCTGCTGTTAATTATCCACTCTGGTTATGAATGTGTGGCAGAAAACATAAAAGTTCATATTCCAAAAAAGACTGTTTTCATGTAGTTTGAATTATGACCTGAAAAGTTCAAGTGTTAGTTGCTCAGTTGTATCCAACTCTTTGCGACCCCATGGGCTATAGCTCGCCAGGCTCCTCTGTCTATGAAATTCTCCAAGCAAGAATACTGGAGTGGGTTGTCATTTCCTCCTCCAGGGAAACTTCCCGACCCAGGGATTGAACCCAGGTCTCCTGCATTACTGGCAGATTCTTTACCATTTGAGCCACCAGGGGAAGACCTAGCTGAGCTCAAAAACTGTTAGAATTTCTTAAAATTGTATGCAAGCTGATTGTGAAAAAAAAAAAAAAAGGAGTTAGGATCTCTCAAACCACTAGTTTTAGAAATCAGGAGGAACAAAAAATTCCACCATTTTTTACTGCTGCATCAGCATAGGCTGCTAATTCCTTTAAATGGCTCTTATAACCAGAACGGTACTGAGGTTTTGCTTTTCCCAGACTTCCATTGCTTTGCAGGTTTCTAAACTTCTAATGCTGACACCTATAACTGATAGCTGACAATTCCAAATAATCAGTCCTCATAGTAAAAGAGGAGGTCTGTCAAGAGAGTGCATATTTGTACACCTACCCTTCCACAGAGAATGCCCTACATCTCTATGTAGGAGAAAGGTGAACTCTAATGAATTCAGGGGAAGCTCAAGAGCAGAAACAGCCTGCTATGCTTAGGCAGCCATAGCAGCTGAATTAATAGTTGCCACGAATACAGTGTCAAAGGTCTCAGCCAAACTCCCCTCAGATCCTACTTATGAAATGCTCTTAGGCTGGGGTGGGAAATCTTTTGAAAGCTTCACAACAAAATTATAAGCAGAGTCTCGATTTGTTACATTACCTTTCTAAATCTCTTCTTACATACATTATCTTGTCAGTCCAAACAAATTCTTGCAAATAAAGGCAGCAACTTCAACACCATGTTTTACTTGCTTTCATTAATCTTCCAAGTCAGAATCCTGATAAACTATATCTAATTTCACTTTTCCCCTGAAAGGTTCCATTTACTTATGTAATATTACTTGTGTCCTTTAGATAAAACATTAATCCAGGCAGCCTGGAATATGTCCAGACACATTAGAAATAACCAAATACTACTAAACGAAACACTGAATTGAAACTACTTACAAAGTAAGTGGGCGGGGGGGAGGGAGTCCATTCAATCTATTAATAATAATATTATAAGCTCTATTATGACAATAGAGCAAAACAAAAAATCAGTTTCCATGTACTGCTGATTTCCTCCTCCTCCCTGTTTCCCACCACCCATCAAGTTCTGTTCAATTTACACCCTAAATAAATCTGAGAGTTTTGATGAAAATGGGTACTCAATTTTGTCAAAAGCTTTTTCTGCATCTGTTCATCACATCATGATTTCTCGACTTTTTCTACTAATGTGTTGAATTTACAACAATTCATTGACAATGAAAGTTGAGTCACTCTTGTTATTTGTGGGAAATTATAACATGGTCATGGTGTATTATCCTTTTTCAAGTTGCTGGATTTGATTTGCTTGTATTTTTCTGAGTGTCTACATCTAAGCTCATCAGAAATGTTGGTCTGCAATTTTCTTTTAATATCTTTACTATGGCCTGTAAAACAAGTTGGGAATTGTTCTCTCCTCTTCTATTTCTGGAAAAAGTCTAAAGATTGATATTGTTTAATTCCTTAAATATTTGCTAGAATTTACCAAGCATGAAACAAGGCAAGGAATTTTACTTTGTGAGAACATTTCTTTTAAATTACAAATTCAACTTCTATATATGTATATTTAGGGGCTATTTATATCTGCTACTTCTTTTATTCGTTTATCAAATTTACTGGCATAAAGCTGTTCATAATATTTCTTACTATCAAGACTTAATAGGATGTAGTATTTTTTATTCCTGATATCAGAAATTGTGTTTTTGTACTATAGAAAGTTTCTCAATTCCCTCTAAGCACTGCTTTAGGTGACTCTCACCAACTTTAATATGTTGTGTTTCTACTATCATTCAGCTTGAAATACTTTAAAACCTCCCTTGCGATTTCTTTGCTGCTGTTGTTCAGTTGTGAAGTTGTGTCAGACACTCTGCAACCCCATGGACTGTTACCATGCCAGGTTTCCCTGTCCTTCACTATCTCTCAGAGTTTGCTCAAATTCATGTATATCGAGTCAGTGATGCCACCTAACCACCTCATCCTCTGCTGCCCTTTTCTCCTCTGCCTTCAATCTTTCCCAGCATCAGGGTCTTTTGCAATGAGTCAGCTCTTCATATCAGGTGGCCAAAGTATTGGAACTTCGGCTTCCCCATCAGTTCTTCCAATGAATATTCAGGATTTCCTTTAGGATTGACTGGTTTGATCTCCTTGCTTCCAAGAGATTCTCAGGAGTCTTCTCTAGCACCACAGTTCAAAAGCATCCATTATTCGGTGCTCAGCCTTCTTTATGGTCCAGCATTCACATCCATACCTAACTACTGGAAAAACCATAGCTTTGACTATATGGACCTTTGTTGGCAAAGTAATGTCTCTGCTTTTGAATATGCTGTATTGGTTTGTCATAACTTTCCTTCCAAGGAACAAGTGTCCTTTAATTTCATGGTTGCAGTCACCATCATAAGTGATTTTGGAGCCCAAGAAAACAAAATCTGTCACTGCTTCCACTTTTTCTCCTTCTATTTGCCATGAAGTGATGACATAGGATGTCATGATCTTAAGTCAACTGTTCCATGTGAAGTTTTAACTGTTGCTTCTTAACTTGCATACAGGTTTCTCAGGAGACAGGTATGGTGGTCTGGTATTCCCATCTCTTTAAGAATTTTCCAGTTTGTTGTGATCCATACAGTCAAAGGTTTTATCACAGTCAATGAAGCAGACATTTTTCTGGAATCCCCTTGCTTTCTCTATGATCCAATGGACGCTGGCAACCTCTGGTTCCTCTGACTTTTCTAAACCCAGCTTGTACATCTGCAAGTTCTTGGTTCACATACTGTTGAAATTTAATTTAAAGGATTTTGAGCATAATCTTACTAGCATGAGAAATGAGCACAACTGCATGGTAGCCTGAACATTCTTTGACAGTGCTCTTCTTTGGGATTGAAATAAAACTGAATTTTTCCAGTCCCATGGCCACTGCTGAGTTTTCCAAATTTGCTGACATATTGAGTGTAGCACTTCAATAGCATCATCTTTTATGATTTTAAATAGCTCAGCTGAAATTCCATTACTTTCACTAACTTTGTTGGTACCTAATGCTTCCTAAGGCCCACTTGACTTCACACTCCAGGATGTCTGGCTCTAGGTGAGTGACCACACCATCATGGTTTTCTGGGTCATTAAGACCTTTTTTGTCTGGTTCTTCTATGTATTCTTGCTACTACTTCCTAATATCTTCTGCTTCTATTAGGTCCTTACTGTTTCTGTCCTTTATCATGCCCATCTTTGCATGAAATGTTCCCTTGATCTCTCCAACTTTCTTGACGAGACCTCTAGTCTTTCCCATTCTATTGCTTTCCTCTACTTTGCATTGTTCATTTAAGAAAGCCTTATCTCCCGGCAATTCTCTGGAACTCTGCATTCAGTTCAGTATATCCTTCCCTTTCTCCCTTGCTTTTCGCTTCTCTTCTTTCCTCAGCTATTTGTAAAGACTCCTTAGACAACCATTTTGCCTCTTGCATCTCTTTTTATTTGCACCACAAGTAAGTAATTGAGGATTTAGCGGACTCATCCTTTAGACAAATGTGGTCACCTATTTTACTTACAGATATTATTAACCCTTCCTTAAAATTATATTGGTAGTGGTGATTTAGTCACTAAGTCCTATCTGGCTCTTTGCGGCCCCATGGACTATAGCCCACCAGGCTCCTCTGTCCATGGGATTTCCCAGGCAAGAATACTGGAGTGGGTTGCCATTTCCTTCCCCAGGGGATCTTCCTGACCCAGGGATCGGACCCACATCTCCTGCACCGCAGGCAGATTCTTTACTGCTGAACCGCCAGTGAAGCACAAAATATACTATTATCACCTTAAACTGTCATTTCTCTTTTAAAGAAGAGGTCATCTTTTCTGTTCATCATTTATTTACCATTTCCAATGCTCTTCATTCTTGCCCATAGCTTCTTTCAGCACTTTAACACAGCATTCCATTTTCCTTCATTCTCCACTATCTGATGGAAAGTCAGCCATCGTTTACCTACTGTTCTCTTTTATGTGTCATTTTTTGGTGGCTACTTTCAAGATTTTCTGTTTATAACTGGCTTTCAAAAGATTATAATGTGCCTAGGTGTAGTTTTCTGTATAGTTATTTGCTTTACATTTGCTGAGCTTCTCTGACACACAGACTTGTGTTTTCTCCTCCAAATTTGGAAAATTACTAACCATTATGTCTTTTTTCAAAAAAAAAAAAAAAACTGAGATATAATTCATATACAACTCACTTAAAATTGACCATTTTGAAGACTAGAACCCAGTAGTTTTTAGTATGCAATTTACTAAAACATTAATGTGGTATCTGAAACCACATCAATAAACATTCAACCTTTGTTACATTAAAATTACTGATGCTAATCATGTACTTTGAATGAATCTTTCACACATGCGTAATTTTACAACATCACGTACTGGTTATTTGGAATATGTTTGTTTACTGAGTTAAGGTTAAATGTTTTCCAACTGTTTCCACATTACTCTATATAAAATCTCTTACATAAAATCTCTTAAAATCTGACATGACAGTAAACAAATCATAAAGATTCTAAGCCTTTCCTTTCATTATTACAATCCATCAACTAATTCAATCAATAATTATAGAGGGCCTAGCATCCAATACCAGCTAGGTACCATAAAATGTGTGTGAGTCTCTTTTGTGTCTTTCACTCATATATCCCAGGCTCCTACAACACTGCTTGGCTGGTCCACAGTAGACTGAGTATTTGTTGAATGAATACATAAACAGGTAGATATGATGTATCTTAACCTAGACTTCAAAGTTTTTTAGCATATGACACACACACACACACACACACACACATATATTCTAACTACCAAAATTACTTTGCAACATAATGGAAAAGACCTGCTAGGCAACATGGAACTTCTACACTTATTAAGCTTGAAGTCGTTTTACCTTCATACTATCCTAAACATAAATTATTATACATACAGGCAGACTTGGCTTTTCATAGTAACTGAAACTCATGCAAATCAGAAACATGTCCTCCCTCTGTATGGTTTTGTAGTAACTAACGTCTGTGGGAAGGAACATGGTGCTATGTAAAGCATTTTAGTCCAAATAATAAGGAAATAAATGTCAATGAACCACAAATTCAATTTTAGAAAAATAGGAAAGGAAAGCAACTTAGAAAGATATGGCAAGCTTCTGGGCACCCACTCACTTTGAATAAGTGTCCCTAATGCGAAAGCAAATCAGACACCTAAATGGCTTTTCAAACTCTTAACATGTTTCCTTCCCACTACATCTCACCATTTGAGAATCACTGCCTAGTAATCAACTAATAGAAGGGGTCCAGTCCTTCAGCACTACCTGTGAATTGCTTATGCAGTGGGGCATGGAGAATCAGGGTGGTTAGAGAGAAAGAGAGATGAGATTTTTATGAAATATTGAGACAAAATTAGGTTACAATAAAACTAGCTTGGACTCATGAAAAACTACAGGAATTAATATTTCTCAAAACAGAACTTACATCAAGTCTTTGGCTCTCTGTCTCCTAACACTTCTCTTCATTCCATCAAAATAGCCTTAGAGTTACTCAGTGTTAGGTTGCCTCCTTCCCCGTTTCCATGCCCACATGCACTCTGAATTTTGCTCTCCCTATTTGAGATTTTTTAAATGAAAAAAAAAAAAGAAAAGAATGCCAAAATATTTAATTTCAAACAAGGTGTGTCTAGCTCCAATAAAGAAGAGGCACTCATACATTAAATGTTTAAATGGTTGTGCAAAAGTTAAGAAGAAATCGAAGGGCATCTTACACATAAACACAAATGGCAGCTTAGCAAATAAAAGTATCATGGGAAAGCATAACAACTTGAAATTCTACTCTAAGGCTATTTACTAAGTAGTACCACAAATGAGACAAATGGAATATGCTATATAGACTATACCTTAAAATGTACTGTGATGTTCCAAGGAAGAGCTGAACTTGATGCAAGGAGATCAAATAGCAAACCAATTGGATAATGCCTAAAAATAAAAGAGTACATTATAAGAAAAAATAAACATTTAAACTACAAATGTAAAATAAACTTCAAGTACATTTTAACATCAAGTATTAGGGGACTTTAACCACAAATCACAGGAAGGTGATATTTTACACAGTTACTTGCTTGGGCTAATATGACAAGTTTTCAGGCATCAGGGTTTTATTCCCCCCTAACCATTTCATTCCCTAAGGAATGTTCAATATACATAATGAAATTGTACTAAGGAACCCTTTATCAGCCATGAGCACTGTTATGTCACAGTACTGCAACACTTAATTATCATATCGGTATTCATTTTGGATGATGAGCTTTTTTTAAAACAACTTAAATTTTACAATTTTAAGACCTGAGAAGAGCACCTAAAGGAGCATGAAATCACTTATTTTGTACTTATTACTATTAACGTTACAGCATATAAATTTCAAATCTTCTCTTTATGCATACAATTCTAAATACAGATTAGGCTTATCCTTTACAAACTGTTATAGCCTGTTTTTCTTACATAACAATGCATCAGTATTTTCTAAAGTCACTGAATATTCTTCTATAACCGAAATCTAAAGTTTTTTAAAAAAATAATAAATTAGGGACTTCTAACTAAGAGAACATTTCCTAATATAATCATTACTCACAGGGAAGCAAATTATTCAGTAACAAACAAGTTAACAATACAGATCTTGCAGACTTCAAAGAACAAATCTTATTTTTTATACCCTTTTAAAGAATCTAAAGTAACTTAATTAGTGAATCAAAATTAAATAATCCTCCCAACAAATGCTAATAGAGAACTTGGTTTTATGCACAGTCATATTCTTTCCTCCATAATATATTAGTGAATTACTCCTAGGATTAAGAGTGGAAAACTTTAAAAATACATCAATTTATTTCAAAATGAGTAATCCAAATATATTATCTGACAAAAATTCAAATATTAGTTAACAGTATTTATGTTTGCCTAATATACAAACAAAATTATAATCTACATAATTGTGAGAAAATCATCAGTCATTAGAGATCATATTTTTATTTAAAATGAATTCAGGATGAATGCCTTGCTAGAAAATAAAACAGTGAGGAGTTTTAGTTATGTGTGTGTTATATCTCTTAATAAAACCCTCAAACTTTTAATTGAATGTCAGTAACTAACACAAATCTTTCAAAACTAGAAATGAATATAATTTTGGATCAACTAAATTACAGAATGCTTTCTTTAGTAAATTCTGAAATCAGGAAAAACTCCAGCCTCAGTTAAAAACTGAAATAAAAACAGTAATTTAAAAAATCCTGCACTATAAACAAGTTATAGATCCTATACACTTCTTATCCTTCTCTATGACCTCCTAAAATTGTACAAGCTCTATGTAACACCATGCATTTTCACAAAATAGACCTTTTTTAAGTTTTCACATCCTTCTGAGGTATCTGCAATCAGGTTAAAAATGAATGTGCGTACTTAAACTAAAAGAGCATACTGTCTTCCAAACTATACGGGCTTTCCCAGTGGCTCAGCTGTAAAGAATCCGCCTGCAACACAGTAGACAAGGGGATGAAGGTTTGATCCCCAGGTCGGTGAGATCCCCTGGAGAAGAGCATGGCAACCCACTCCAGTACTCTTGCCAGGAAAATCCGATGGACAGAGGAGCCTGGCGGGCTATGGTCCACAAGGTCACAAAGAGTTGGACATGACTGAAGCAGGTAAGTGTGCATGCATGCACGTAGTTGACTTATTGGATAGATTCACCAGTTATCCCATAAAATGACTAGCAATTCAGTGTTTACACTTTTTCTACTGTTCAAAAATGGAACTATACACAAATTCTTAAGTTAAATCAAATATTATTTTAAAGCAACCTATACTATCATAAAAAAATCAAGTACAATTTTAAAAATAAGTATTTGAGTCAGAATACAAGTTAAATGTAGTAAGATTCAATAATCAATTATTTTTTACTCTCAACATTAAAAAAAAAACTGTAAGTGCACAGAATCTCATATAGGATAGATAAGAGCTGCTGAATGCATAAATCAAGATCCATAAAATAGTTAACCCTTGGTATACCAATAAAAGTCCAATGGGCCCAATATTAGATTGTGAACTTTTCTGTACAGTTATAACTATTTTAAAATTAATATTTCATAACTTTAATTCTTTCTTAAAAGTCTTCCAAAAATCTCAAAGAAAACTCACTTAAAAAAAAAAAGAATAAGATTAGCAATTGCCGTATGAATTCACTGGACCTTTTTATAAATCTAAGATATACTGTGACATCTTAGTGATCTTATTTTTTTACTCCATCTTGAAACATTTTGCTACTTCATTCCAGGAATTATTTCATCATTACTTATCAATTATTCCTAACTAAAAAAAAAGATTGATAAGATTAGTAAGAATGGAAGAATAATGTTATATCTAGAAGAAAGATACAATAATGTATCCTTCTTCCATTTTCTTACTTTGTCACCTAAAACATTATATCGTATTTCAACAAAGTATAAAATAAGGATGCAGACCTCATCTTTGGAGTCTACTTTCAGCTCTCATTAACACAGGTGAAAATTCAAAATGTCTTATTTTCCACCTATATTGACAGAGAAAGACTACACAACTAGATAAATCAGAAGATTTTTGCAAAGAAACACAAACCAGTACTTTAGACTTTAATGACATTGGTAAAATGATCATTTAAGTGAAATCTCAGACTATGAGTCTTTAGATGATAATACCCTGTCAATGAATTTTATAAAACTCAAGAACTAATGAATGAACAGCATATTTCTAAGAACATATGGCATTCTTATCCACATAATCAAAGGAAGTATTTTTTCATATAATATTTTATGAGTAGAACCTAAACTATTTCATTTTGCTAAAAGCATGAGTGTCAGTATTCTTATCTTTAATACTATATGCACACTGCAATTTTCTTGACAGTAAGTGGGCAAATGTTAAAGGCAGATTTGTACACAAAGATGACTGGAAGGAATTAGATGATCTAGAAATTAAAAAGAATTGGACTGGATGTTTACTCATATAAAAAAGAAATTATTTTACAATAAAATCATGATGTAAGCCTTTAATAATTTTGCAAAGCACTGCTGTTAAGTGCACAAAGAGCCAGAAGTAATGATAAGCTAGAACCTCACAGAGGTCTATTTGAATGTTCAGTAACTAATGAGCAGTTATTTGCATTGAGGACACTGCCCATTTTTGGTATATATACATTCAAAACCAGTGAAAACATGGAGCAAAAATTTGAATTTCTGTATTTAAATGCTTAGTAAAATTTCTAATAAAGTTATTATACACCATTCCTTTATTCCTCTCTAAGCTATTTATAAAGTGACTTAAATATACATATATACACATATATATTTTATAATTTACTGGTCTCACTAAATGATGATTTTCCCTGATATACTAAGGATTAGGATGGAAATTTAAGTATGATAATTTCTAAAACATATTAAAATTTAAAACATGTAAAATATTACCATAAAAGCATTCTAAATAAAATAATATCTAATAGTTAACCTGGAACAAACATTAAAAATAAAACTAAGCCAGAAAAATACAGGAGTAAAATAACTATTTACTTATATGTATTGTCAAAGTATACAGATCATATGTGGATCATCAATGCAGTTGTTTATGTCAGAATGATTTTGATGCAAGTATACAAACTCTAAACAAATACACCACCTGAATTAACTAGTTCCAAGATTCCTTATTTCTGGTGAATCTATTAATATGCAAGAAAATCTAGAAAATAGAACTGGCAAACAGTTAAAGTATTGACTTTTTCTTACACTATACTCTGATTTATGTCAAAAATTTCAAAAGTAATAATCTGCACAATTCTTCTAAATGGATATTCTACATAGTTTTGTTAGGAAGCTCCTAACCTATAATACAGAAACCACATAAGCCATAACTATGAGTAAATCGTAATGTACCCTTTTAACTGTTACATAGCTACTCCTGCCAATGTAACCTAAATTTAAAAGAAAAGGAAGTAGTGAGGACTTGAATCTGAATATACCCAGAAGACACAACCAGGAAACATTCAATCTACTGTGCTGTAAAAACTGACTGCACCAGGATAACGTTACACCTACTTTCACATTTTATTCCTTTTTTCTTCCTTAAATTGCTCTAGCCTTTTCTAAATTCAATCCTCAAAATGAATTAACAATTTTTCTGCATAAGTTGTTGCTTTTTTACTCCTTCATTACTGGTAAAATACATGGACATACAGTACATGGTATAGCAGTAACAGGTATGCTTTAAGTTCAGCCAAGGGTGCTCATTCTAGTCTAAACATCTGAATTAGATAGCAAACCAGTATTTTAAGACTAGCATTGAAAGGAATCTTCCCTATATTCTAGAGGACTATTGTCCCACTCCCTTTCATTTAAATAAATGCATTCTATTCATAAGTTTGCTACATTAGTGATTCAATGAAAACAGGATTACATTTTAATAAATACAAAAAGGTATAACTTAACTGCAAACCAAAGTAATTTAATGATTACAATCTATTTTGCCTTTCTCTATGGTACAAACAATTACAGGCTAGTACTGTGTGTCTCAGCTTTCTAAGTCTATTCTTTTGCATGAAAAAGTACAGAAATAACCAACTAAAGGGATATGGCATGTATAAAATGTTAATAAGTAAGCCACATATCAAAAATCTAGTTAACAGAATAACTTATAAAATTCTAAAAATTCACCACCTTAGAAAAATGACTAGATTTAAGAGCAGAGTCTGTACAGTTTATACAATTAAGATGTAAAAGTTATTTTGTTAAAATTCACTTTTGAAATCACATAGGTACAGTATTAAATTTTGGGTCAATGGACACAGTATGTCTACAACTTCAGACCTACATCAGTATTTGTTGCTTTTCTTTAAATTTAAAAGGTAGTTTCAACAACTTATTTCCAATAGTCAGTCTTGAAAATAAGTCAATTTATACAAAACAATAATATCCCAGTAGAGACACGCTTTACAGTTGACAGAGAACTTTTTCTAAATTTTGTACCTAGAGGTCTAAGATCTAACTAGCATTAGGATATACTAACAAAGTATTCTTTAAAGAACCAAGGTCTTTTCTCTTAAAATAAGCCTAACATGAAAGTAACAAATTTGAACACTTGAGTTAGGGTAACAAGAAGTGAAGTGAAAGTCGCTCAGTCATTTCTGACTCTTATAAGAAACTATCCCTTAAAGTGTAATGTTAGAGCACCCTCTGCTGACTAATCAACTCAAATACTCTTAAGAAAGAGATCCTTAATTTAAGATCAGCTTTTTTCATTTCCCATATAATTTTTAAACATTAAAGACATAAAGAATGTAGAAGATAAAGCACTAAACAGATAAAGTCTCCTTGGCACCTCTTTACAAATCGACAACATATTAAGTATTCATTATATGCATACCACTGTTCTTAAATATTTTTCTATTCTAATATGGACAATTTAGCATGTAATTAGAACATACAGAATCAGAGAAAACAACAACAACTAATAAAAAGAATTATCAGCACATATAGCAAAAAGATCCCTGAACTGAGAGCCTGAATATATGGTCCTACTTGCTCATTTGAGTAAGTTATTTTATTTGAGTCTCAGTTTTATCAATAAAAAAACTTAAATTCATTATTTCATTCAACAAACATTTACTCATCACCTCTTCTGAGCCACTGCTTAAGCTACAAAGCACCTGCTCAAGCCCCTCACACAGATGATTAAATATCTGCAAAATAATATAAATAGAAAGGGTTATTATAGAGAGAAAGGATATCAATTTATATTTTCTTCCTTCTTTTAGGAATTGCCTAAACCGGTATTTGATTTTCTTTCTCACTTGAATTTACTTAAAACTCCAAAGAATTAAGCATAAGGAAGATATCATCATCCTACTCAAATAAATGTTCCTCTATTCTTTTTTTAATAATTTTTAATAATTTACTTATTTTTGGCTGTCCTGGTTCTTCACTGCTGCAGGCTTTTGTCTAGTTGTGACAAGAGAGGGCTACTCTTCACTGCAGGACTCAGGATTTTCATTGCGGCGGCTTCTCTCATTGCAGAGCATAGGGTCTAGGATGTGCAGGCTCACATTTGCAGGCTGGGAGCAGTTGAGGCTCCTCGGCGCTAGATCACAGGATCAAGAGTTGTGAAGCACAGGCTAAGCTGCTCTGCACCATGTGGTATCTTCCAGATCAGGGACTGAACCTGTGTCTCCTGCACTGGAAGGCCAACTCTCCACCACTGAACCACCAGGGAAGTCCTCCGCTACTCTTTAGACATCTTCATGGTCTCAAAAGTCCAAGTCTTACAAAGCTTCAGTGGGAGCTGCTTCTCTACGATGATTATCCTATCCTATGAAGCCCACTGCTTAAATGCTAGGTAGATATTGACAGCCTATTTCCAGGAAAATAACTTATCACACAGGAGAAAACTGCTATGGTTGAGAGCAGAGAGAAAAGGTCAGAACTTAGTCCAGAGGCTTTGGATTACACTCATGCCCCAGTAAATTATTCATTCCTCAAATATACAGAGTACCTAACAATACTAAAGGAAACGCTGTATCAAAAGCAGTTAAAGGGCTTCCCTGGTGGCTCAGGGGTAAAGGATCCAGCTGCCAATGCAGGAGACATGGGTGTGATCCCTGATCTGGGAAGATCCTACATGCTGCGGGGCAACTAAGCCCATAGGGCACAACTACTGAGCCTGTGCTCTTGAACCCAGAAGCTGCAACTACTGGGCCCACGTGCTGCAATTACTGAAGCCCACACACCCTAGAGACACTGCTCAGCAACAACAAAAAGCCACAGCAGTAAGGCTGTACACAGCAACACGAGAGTAGCCCCGCATCTTACAATGACAGAAAAGCCCACAAAGCAATGAAGACCCAGCACAGCCAAAATAAATAAATAATACTATAAAAAAAATTTTAATAGTTATTAAATGAGTGCACAAGACATAGCTATGAAACTGATACCATACATAAAAAGCTAACACCCCCAAAACTAAAATGAAGACAATGTGAACACAACTGCTTTCACATAAGTTCTCTAAAAGGAAAAACAACTTCGCTCTTTAATAAAAGATTTTCAGAAGGGATAAATAATGACAAAGTAGGAACACATATCTTGAAAACAACGTAACAGGTAGAAATGGGACCAAATGTCATTTACTGATATCATATATAGAATACAAACCTACAGAAGACAAATCACATCAAATACAAAAATAATCACCACACAAGATGAATTAAAATAGCAGCTGAAAGACAAAGACTTAATAACCATTTACTATAAAAGCTAAATTGAGGTTTCTCATCTCTTCCAAAGTTTCTCAGTTGGAGGTGGTTTTGCATCCCGTGCCCTGCAACATTTTTATTATCTCAACTGGCAATAGTGGGTAGGGGCTGCTGCTAAAAATACTGCAACATACACAGTAGCCCTTCCACAGCAAAGAATCATCTGGCTTCAAACGTCAGTACATCCCTTCTTGAGAAACCACGCTTTACAACAATAAAACTAAAAAGCCCACTGTCAGTCACATCAGTTCTTCTTATGGTCATCGGTAACTGTAGCCCGCCAGGCTCCTCTGGCCATGGGATTTCCCAGGCAAGAATACTGGAGGGGGTTGCCATTTCCATCTCCAAATCGACAACTAATGCACATAAAGCAATACAATTTCAATATCCAACTATAATATAGATACAACTGTCAAGAACATAGATATATCCTATTGCTACTCACCCACAATCTTTCCCCCTCCTTCCTTTCCCTCTACTCTCCTGATCCTTGCTGCTCTTATACTTCTTTTAAGCCACCTTCCCATTCCAAAACCTCCAATTCTTCTGAGAAATAAAAAGAAAACAGAAAACATTGACTTATCTATGCTGCCTGAGGTCTAGAATTATTCAAGAGTCATAATGAGTCTGATAATGTGATTATGAAGATCCGTATTCTGTTTTGATTAAAAAATGAACGTTATACCAAAAAAAAAGGTTAGTGACATGACTCAATATAAGATGTTACTTTGTATGTTTCCGAATCATTAAGAGAAATCTAACTACTCTTGGAAATTAATCAGCACAAGGTGAGTTCCAAAAGTTCACTCCTTATTTATAAATGATCCTTGGATTCAAGACAGTTGTACTTATCACATACCTACTAGCTCTCTTTTATTTGCTTTAAGCCTCTTAAAACTCTTCATTTTTTACTATTCCCAGATTCAGAGAGCAAGTCCATTATTAAACTATTTATATTCTTCATATTTCACTTAAAGCTTGACTCAGTCTATACCTTTTTCATTTAACTACACCTACATGGCAGCATTTCAAAACCTATATCTCAGCATATGTTGGGTGATTTTATTCTTCTCCCTGTAACTTCTTCAATTTCCTTAAATATTTTTGGAAGCACAATGACCAAAGCTCCCGGTAACAGAGGAAACACAAAATTACATCATCTGTAGATACAGATAAGCCAAGATTTGGGATTTATTTTCAGTATGTTTATGAAAAAGGATATTTATTTTAAATGTTTCTGAAAAAAATAGTACTCTGATATATCATCAAAATTATTTTTCACACAAAAAGGAAATCAATATACTTTAACTACTAGACCAAAGCTAAACAACATGTGCTTATAGCACAGTCGTCAACTGTATGTGGCAATCAGTTTGAAAGATGCCCCTTCAGGTAGTCATGTGTATATAAAGATCTGTTTATAAAGATTTTAGAGACAGAAACAAAACTGAATAGTATCACAGAGTGACTTATTCATATTTTAAATATATGTTTAAAAAAAAACCCATAACCAAATATACTATTATCATGTCATATAAAAAAAATCTATTGATGGAAATATGTAAATCTGTCCTATGCAGCCAAACAGAAGGCAGAAATATTTCCAATAAAATATTTTAGTATTGATTTAAAATCCACTGTATTATAGAGCTAGACTAGTGATTTCTTGCACAGACCTTTTAAAAAACTGCTGCAAGGCACTATATCTTCTTAAAGCTATCATATACTCAATGCTTAACAATGCAGAAAAATTCACTCACCATTTCAGTGGTGTGCCTTCATATTCAAACCATATCTCACTAATGTCTTCTTGTCTCATAACCTTCTGAAAGTGCTTTTTCACTTTGTCAGTTACCAACGTCAAATAACTTACTCTTGGCAAAAGCAACTGAAATGAAAATTTATAAAACCATATTTATTTACTATTTTTTCAAAAAGAAATACACTAAATAGGCTTTTAAACTATATTTTGAATATTCTGAAAAACAGCCATGTTTTTTCCATTATTTTGAATATTATACACAAAGCAAACTGTTTTTTATAGAAAATCAAAGGCTAAAGGTTAAGATGACTTAAAATTTCTTATGAGGTCATTACTTGATGTATAGCTTATAGGGTAAATGCCTAGAATAAACAAGTCTATGTGTAATCCTTCTGTAAAAGTTTTCTCCAAATAAAAATACAATGCAATCAGAAGCCATACTGTTTAGGATACTTATTAGTTCTATCAAATTTAACTTGAAAATTAATATGATTCACCTGAGGTAATTCAACTTATGGGAAGATAATCATTAACTCAGTGTTATGTACACGTTGACTTATCAATCAAGACTTCTCAGTTGATCCATCATATTTTGATAATCTACTGTGTACTAGGGGCTTCCCTGGTGGCTCAGATGGTAAAGTGTCTGCCTGCAATGCGGGAGACACGGGTTCGATCCCTCGGTTGGGAAGATCCCCTGGAGAAGGAAATGGCAACCCACTCCAGTTCTCTTGCCTGGAAAATTCCATGGACTGAGAAGCCTGGTAGGCTACAGTCCATGGGGTCACAAAGACACGACTGAGCAACTTCACAATCACAATCACTGTGTACTGACTCAGTTGTGTGAAGAACACCAAGGCAAGGACATAATCTATCCTCATCTACAAGGCTAAAATAAAGTGGAGGTTAAAAAAAAAAAAACTCCTAAAAAGTACTTACAAAAATACTTCATGGCAGCAACAGAAAGGCCTTTAAAGGTCAGCTAGAAGATTTCATTTGATAAACAATGAAGCCCACTATGATACCACAAATAAAATGATATGATGAGAAATAGTGAAAAAACTGAAAGTGTCAATTGCTTAGTCATGTCTGACTCTGCAACCCCATGGACTGTAGCCCACCAGGCTTCTCTGTCCATGGAATTCTTCAGGCAAGAATACTGGAGTGGATAGCCATTCCCTTCTCCAGGGGATTTTCCTGACCCAGGGATCAAATGTGCATTGCCCACATGCAGGCAGATTCTTAACCATCTGAGCCACCAGGGAAACCCCAAAGTGAAACAGTACTCAAGGGTTATTCTAACCATTGTATATAAAAGACTGCAATAAGATTCTAGACAGGAAATCTGTTAAGGAAATACTACATGAGATGAGAAAGAAGGAATGGAAAAGTAGGGGAGGCCTGGAAATTAGAACAAATTTTGGTGATAACTAATGTAACACCTAGAGCCAGACATTCTGGAATGTGAAGTCAAGTGGGCCTTAGAAAGTATCACTACGAACAAAGCTAGTGGATGTGATGGAATTCCACTTGAGCTATTTATTTCAAATCCTGAAAGATTATGCTGTGAAAGAGCTGCACTCAATATGCCAGCAAATTTGGAAAACTCAGCAGTAGTCACAGGACTGGAAAAGGTCAGTTTTCATTCCAATCCCTAAGAAAGGCAATCCCAAAGAATGCTCAAACTACTGCACGACTGCACTCATCTCACACGCTAGTAAGGTAATGCTCAAAATTCTCTAAGCCAGGCTTCAGCAATACGTGAACCGAGAACCTGCAGATGTTCAAGCTGGTTTTAGAAAAGGCAGAGGAACCAGAGATCAAATTGCCAATATCCGCTGAATCATCGAAAAAGCAGGAGAGTTCCAGAAAAACATCTATTTCTGCTTTATTGACTACACCAAAGCCTTCGACTGTGTAGATCACAATAAACTGTGGAAAATTCTGAAGGAGATGGGAATACCAAACCACCTGACCTGCCTCTTGAGAAACCTGTATGCAGGTCAAGAAGCAACAGTTAGAACTGGAGATGGAACAACAGACTGGTTCCAAATAGGAAAAGGATATGTCAAGGCTGTATACTGCCACCCTGCTAATTTAACTTATATGCAGAGTACATTATGAGAAATACTGGGCTGGAAGAAGCACAAGCTGGAATCAAGACTGCCGGGAGAAATATCAATAACCTCAGATATGCCAATGACACCACCCTTATGGCAGAAAGTGAAGAGGAACTAAAAAGCCTCTTGATGAAAGTGAAAGAGGAGAGTGAAAAAGTTGGCTTAAAGCTCAACATTCAGAAAACTAAGATCATGGCATCTGGTCCCATTACCTCATGGGAAATAGATGGGGAGACAGTGGAAGCAGTGTCAGACTTTATTTTTTGGGGCTCCAAGATCACTGCAGATGGTGACTGAAGCCGTGAAATTAAAAGACGCTTACTCCTTGGAAGGAAAGTTATGACCAACCTAGATAGCATATTAAAAAGCAGAGACATTACTTTGCCAACAAAGGTCTGTCTGGTCAAGGCTATGGTTTTTCCAGTGGTCATGTATGGATGTGAGAGTTGGACTGTAAAGAAAACTGAGCATTGAAGAATTGATGGTTCTGAACTGTGGTGTTGAAGAAGACTCTTGAGAGTCCCTTGGACTGCAAGGAGATCCAACCAGTCCATCCTGAAGGAGGTAAGTCCTGAGTGTTCATCGGAAGGACTGATGCTGAAGCTGAAACTCCAATACTCTGGCCACCTCAAGCGAAGAGTTGACTCATTGGAAAAGACCCTGATGCTGGGAGGGATTGGGGGCAGGAGGAGAAGGGGACGACAGGGGATGAGATGGCTGGATGGCATCACTGACTCGATGGGCATGAGTTTGAGTAAACTCCAGGAGTTTGTGATGGACATGGAGACCTGGCATGCTGCAATTCATGGGGTCGCAAAGAGTCAGTCACGACTGAGCGACTGAACTGAACTGAACTAATGAAGAAATCTGAAGGAGGTAAGAGATATTAGATGACTAACTTTTGAGCTACACATTCACATCTTCAAATGCAATAAAGCACAAACTTCTAATATAATGCTGATGAACTGGGGTCCTGCTAGTGTCAGTCAACACTAATCTGTCCCTATGGAGGCTGGACCTACTTGGGCTTTGGAGAGAGAAAAGTCTGGAAAGGAACATTGAGGATGGTATAGTAAGAACTGGAATAGTATGAAGGCCATCAGTGTTATTACCCCCAGGAAAGGAGCCCAGAAAGAAAACATAAGAGAGCAATGATTTATTTAAAGAACCTACAAGTAGATAGAAGGAGGAACTTGGCAAAAATTCATGTATTCTCCTCCTTTGCAGGAGAAGCTCCAGCCATTTCTTGCTTTCATAAGGTTCTGTTTTCTTTTGCTGGTAAAATGGTTTGTTACTCTCTTCCAGCTGCTTCTGTGAATGGAACTCTGCATCACTTTTCATGTTGCTTATTCAAAGTTATGTTTTTTTGATCAGTGAATCAAACAAAATTATGTACTGGGCTGGGGACTATATACAAAGAGAAATATTCTGGTTCAGGGATCGATACTTAATCAATGAAGATAGAGGCAACAGGCTCCAGTTAGATAAGAGAACATTACAGTAGTCCTAGGGGCTACAAGGTAAAGGGTTGTGAGTGGTAGCTGGAATGTTCCAGTATGGAAAAAAGGTGCCCATACTAGGAATCAGCTGCAGGATAGGAGTGTGAATTGAACAGAACATAAACTCCTCTTTTTAAAAAATTGTTTAAATTTCTTGGCCATGTCACACAGCAAGTGCAATCTTAGTTACCTGACCAGGGAGGGATCAAACCCACGCCCTGCTTTGGAAGCATGGAGTCTTAACCCCTGGACTGAAAGGGAAGTCCCCAGAAGCTCTTCTTTTATTATTTAATGAAACAACTAAAATGTGATTAGAGAAGAAAAGAAAAAGGAAACTAAAAGTTACTAAGTATAAGGAAAAGCATTAGTTGTTTTACAGGAAGTATTATTATCACTTCTGTTTTACATACAGCTTAAATATTAGTAACTTGTCAAAACCATATTCTATTAAAGAAATCACAAAGAAAAATTCATTAGCATCACAAAGGACAGAATCAAGTACAGATGAAACATGGACAGTCTCTAAGAAATTAAAATAGCATGGTATATTAGCCATTTTAAAAAAATAAATAAATATAATCTATTCGTCCAAATATAATCTGTTCATCTGTATTATTAAGTCCAGGACTTTAACCAGTTTGTTGGGCATTACATAGTTATCTACTCGTTAAGAGAATGATATTCACCTACAGAGATCATAAGAAGGAAGATAAATCAGGAATAAATGAGTGTGGGTATCAGCTCTTGATTTTGGAAAGACCTATACTACATGTTGGAGAAGGAAATGGCAACCCACTCCAGTACTCTTGCCTAGAAAATTCCATGGATGGAGGAGCCTGGTGGGCTACAGTCCATGGGGTCGCAAAAGAGTTGGACATGACTGGGTGACTTCACTTTCACTTTCATACTGCATGTACAAGGTTCAACTAGAGTTAGTGAAAAATTCACAAATGATTTTCATGATACAAAAATTTCTTTCCAATAAGGAATGAGTAACATTAAAATGTAAGCTCTATTAAGACAAGGGTTTTCATCTGTTTTGTTAACGGCTAACATTCCCAATGGCCAAAATAGTGCCTCCTTTATAAGAGGTGTATAATAAATATTTGATAAAGAATCAGATGCCAAAGGTTAAAGTGTGACAAAAGGCCAAAAGTGATAAATTTTAAAAGAATGCTCATTCATAAGACAGAATCCACACTGACACTAAAATGTAGCTGGAATCTTCTGGTCTATATTGGTCTGTGGGAGTAATCTGTGTAACTAATATAAATATAGTAGCACTAAGAAAAAACTAGAATAGGTACAGATACAGTTTATCCAGTAAATGTTTAAATAGGTAAAATGGAAAGAGAATAACAACAAAAGCATCACCCTGCCTTCTACATTAGGACTGTATCACACAAGAATTTTCCTTGGTATATCTCACTGGTTTACTTCAAGCTCCTTTTGTAAAACTACGTTAAAATATACCTAGCATAAAGTTTGCCCCGTTAACCATTTTAAG